GGGGCCAGGTGGTGACGCACACCTTTAATCCTAGTACTCAAGAGGCAGAGGCAGGTGAATCTCTGTGAGTTCGAGGCCAGTCTGGTCTACAGAGTGAGTTCCAGGACAACCAGGGCCACACAGAAAAACTATAAATAAATAAATAAATAAATAATAAGGAAAGAAAGGACGAAAGCAAGCAAGTAAGTGAGCATGTCGCTGTGAGATAGCCCACTTAGAAACGTGTTTACCTTATAGACATGAAGACCTCAGTGTGATCTCCAGAGCCCAAGTTAAAGCCAACCAGTTGTGGTCCTGTATGCCTGTTATTTCAGCATTGGTTCTTTGAACACGTGAATCCCTGAAACAGGCTGACTAGCCATTCACCTACTTGGCAAGTTCCAGCATAAGAGACTTATTCCCAAAAGAACATAAATGACTTCTGAGGAACACTGCCTGATGTTACACATTGGCCTGCACATGGCATGTATGGACATGCCTGAAGAGTCTTCCTCCCTCCCACTCCTTCCCTCTCCTCTTTCCTTCCTGAGGACACACACATACACTTTGATGAGCCTTGCAGTGCCTATCAGATGTCTCTTCTGTGAGGCTTTAACAATTTTGGGAAACCTAGGGCCACATAATCTCCAAAATATTTCCAGTAAATAGTTGAATTTTCAATGCACTTTGGCTGCTTATTTTTTGAAAACAACTGGGTTAGCTATTACTAAACTTCCTGGTCCATGTAGTTTCTACTCATAATTGGTGCTACTAATTTTAGTTATTTTTTTCTGTTATATTTTAAAAACTGTCTGGGATTTTCTACTAGACTATACTGGGGATAATGATTAAATACACCCAGTCCTTGTCTTGAAAGACAGTTTTGTGAAGAGACAGTTTGAGGACTTTTAAGAGTTGCTTAGGTAATGTGAGTGGAGCAAACCCAGAAGGCAGAATGTGCATTTAAAAATAGTTTGCCTGGAGTGTGGACCACACACAGAGTGCATTTGACTGAGAGTTTGACCCCATTTATCTCACATTTATCATTAATTCTCGCAGGTTGTGGGTGGATATGTCCCTTGTTAGAAATTCATTCTGGAAGTGTCTGGTTCTACTTTATCCAAGTTTATATGGATGTAGCTCAAGTTCAACTTGCTAGGCTTGAGATTCCATGCTTTATATTTCTGCTTTAATCCAGTGGACCTGAGACAAGTCACTTGACTTGTAACTCAGCCTCTTGAACCTTGCATTCTGTTTTTTTCCCTTTAACTGGGAGCTGGCCAACCAGAAGGGACATTTGGCCTCAGTCTTTATATTCACTCTAGGGCTTCAGATATAGACTTCACAATCTTTAAATACAGTCAAGAAAGGCCTTGGCAGGATCAAGTGACTATATTCATTGTATAGTCTTCAGTACCACTGTTTTCCTTTTGACATTTTTTTCCTCTGTAATCTAGAAGTGCTGTGGATTGGTCTTCAGCCTGGGAGATGTCCTCCTAGGTCTGTTTCCTGCCTTTCTTCGATGGGAAAGAGGATGGATAAGTGGAGTATTAGGGTTCCTGGTGATATCAGTGTTTGTTTTGCTGGATCCTTATGTGTAGATAGACACCAGAATTCTTCAGAACAGGCACAGTAGAAGTTGCATTTTCAGAACATGAGGATTGCTTGTGTGTGTGATTGTCCATTGGCAGCTCTTTTGGTAAGAGAGTAGTCCAAAAAGGTAGTTTGAGAGACAGAACCAATGAGTCTATGATTACTTCAACAAAAAATGCTAATTAGAGAGAGAGCAAACCACTAAATCTATAATTGCTCTCAGTAATAAATGCTAATTCATGACCCTTAAGATAATGTATGAGTAGATTTGAAAGTCATTTTTGACAACCATTTGCAGATCACCTAATGCAAATCAGCAGAATAATTAACATAAGTGTATGAATGCTTCCTGAGAATTGAATTAAAAAAGATAAGAATTGAGGAAGGCTCTGTAGGCTTTGGTTGTGTTGATCTTGACAAAACCCGAACTGTGAACATGGAGGATGGGAGGTGAGGGGGGGTATCAGCCTCCCAAGCCATGTACTCCATTATAGGTTGTTAAATGTGTTTAATATTTGTTCTGATGGCAAGTGATGCTGAGTGAAGTAGGGAATACTCTGTGCCCTTTATCCAGAGTCAGGGATTGTGGAAGAAAGAGCATGGTGTTTTTTGTAGCCACTTAAAGATGCTAGACGAACTGGTCTTTTAATAGCTTGGGGGGGAAATAGGTAGCATGGTTCTTCAGTTTGAATATGTCCAGGAGCAAGGATAAGAAGTGCAGAGCATGTTCCTGAGGATACAAGCACCGTTTATAGGGACATTTTCTAGCTGTGTTCATCATGAGCTACAGAAGGAGAAAGCAGATTTCTCATGGGTCTCACATTCTCTTATATGTTGACTTGCTTGTTTAATATTACTAAATGCTTTGATGGGAGATGTGTTCGTTGTAGCAAAAAAAAAAAAAAAAAGAGAGAAGGGCAGGAGGGTGATGATACAGACATCCATATCACTGACTTTTGACAGGACAGAACATAGTGTATGTCAGAGTGCTTGGTAAAGTGTAAAGGATGTGCACCAATTTTTTTGTTTTGTTTACAAAAGAGCTGCCAGAAAGGACAAATCATTGTGTCCTCTGTGTGTTTGTGTGTGTGAGTGTGTGTGTGTGTGTGTGTGTGTGTGTGTGAGAGAGAGAGAGAGAGAGAGAGAGAGAGAGAGAGAGAGAGAGAGGAAGAGAGAATATGAATGTGGGAGGGTTCTGTGTACAGATGCACACAGTCTGTCTAATAGGCTTAAATTATTTCTATGTTTCTTAGTACTGAGGGGAGAGACTCAGCCTAAAATTCTGGTTTGAGCTTTTTTACATTTAACCGAGTGACCTCTGTTTCTTCATCACAGTTGACTTCCAAAAGAGTGTCTTGCAAATGAGGTACTGAAAATGTTGTACTTGACAAACCAGAGAGCAACTCATAGAAAAACTTATGGAACAGGCCAATAGAGGAAGAGAGAGTAGTCTCTTCCCTTTCAATTCCTGTCTATCATTTAATTGTCCTCTGTTTTCCTTTAGTTTCTGTAGTCAGTTCTGGTCACAAACATTTGACACACTTCCACTGAATAACTGAGAAGTGATTTATGAAAGAGTGGACCAGAAGTAGGTAGTGAGGGATGGTAAGAGCCAGAAATTCAAGAGACGAAAGCAGCAGTTTGTGGTCTCTTGAAGGGGACATTGCACATCTGAGTAGCTACTGTAGGAACACAACTCCTGCTTTCTCACTGCTGCCTCTGTCGTGTCTTGGCTAAGCAGTAAATATAAGGCAAAGGCCAAGATGTTCATGAAACCTATACCTGACAGCCTGCAGGGCAGTGGCCAGCAGATGAGAAGAGAAAGAAGGCCTAGCTCTGTTTCTGGCAGTAGGAAATAATCACAACAACAACAGTAATAAATCTATATCTATATTAATTATATTAATTTATTAATCAATATATTAATAACAACAATAATAATTACTATCATCATCCTTCTTAAGGGCTCCAGGAATATCTCCAAAGAGATAAGTGTTGATTGCTCTTGCCTCAAACGATCTAAAGAAACACAAGCCAGTGTAGCTTATATTTCATGCATTGTCTTTTTTATTTAAGGGGTAATTATGTAAAGATTTTTCAGATGACGAGGAGGAAAGGGCTAGTTCCTGACTCTGTTGTTTTTCTTTTTGTTAACTTTATAAATTAAAATCTCTTGGGACTGGAGAGATGGCTCAGTGGTAGGTTAAGAACACGTTCTGCCCTTGCAGATAACCCAAGTGTAGTTTCCAGCACCCATGTCAGGTGGTTCACAACCACCTATAATTACAGGTCCACGGGGTCTGGCTCCCCTATCTGGCCTCCTTGGGCATCTGCATTCATGGGTACATTTCCACGCACATATGCAGGACCCCCTTCCCAACATCATTAAAAATGAAAATCTTTGGGAATGAATAGATGACTCAGCAGTTAGCTCTTGACTCTTGGTGTTCTTACAGAGAATCCGAGTTCAATTTCAGAAAATACCCGGGGGGATTCTATTTCTCTGGACTTCTTGAGAACTTGCCTTCACTTGGGTAAAAATTCTAGTATTTATTTCAATTTTCATGATTGTTTATGAAGACAGCAATAAAATCTAAACACAAAAGCAAAATGGAATGAGGATGGATTTGCAGTTCTCGCTCTTACTCTCCTTCCTTCCTCCTATTTCCCCTTCCTTCCTAGCAGACTTGCTGGGAGGAAAGCCATCATTTCTCATTCTGTTCTTTCATACTTAAATACCAAGAATGTTGCTTTTTATGTTCTTTACATTGTTGGAGAGTGGAAAAGGACATGGCAAAAGGCATTTGTGTTCAGAAATGTGAAGTTTTCAGATTTAGAAATATATATTGAATATGGTGAAGAGAAGAAAAACATCTCCCAACAATAATTTGTTGTTTCTCATGAGTGACAGAGAGAACTAAACCAGGCCCTGGTAATAAGCACTGTGGATACTGTGGTCCAGAGCATAACTTGTGTCTACCAAGGATCTTTTGTCTGTTTTTGCCCCAGTTCCAGGCTGGAGAAAAAATGTCTTAGGTTTTAGGTCTCCTCTTGTTTATTTCGGAAACGTATCAGTATAAGGGTATTGCCATTTCCAGAATGCAGGGAGAAGGGTCTGTCAAGTTTCAGTAATTTTCTCATGATGCAGTTGCACTTGTTTCTCAGAGGTGTAGGGTTACAAGTTGGTGTTTGGTAGATTTATGCTCATAGACTTCCTAAGATGGGAGTGGTTTTTGGGCTCATTTGCCTTTGAAATGGACCATCATAACTTTCCAAGTGTCCTCTGTAGGTGGCGTTTTGACTTTCTATGAGTGCTTCTCTCAGCTGGTCTTTTGGTGTCTGCAAAGTCTGGGCTGGTATCTAGTTTTGTTATCCGGAGACCAGCAAAGGAATTGTGATCTAATGCGCTGCTGCCATTTTCATTCCAGGGACAGGAGAGAGTGGCAAGAGTACCTTCATCAAGCAGATGAGGATCATCCATGGGTCAGGATACTCTGATGAAGACAAGAGGGGCTTTACCAAACTGGTGTATCAGAACATCTTCACAGCCATGCAGGCCATGATCAGAGCTATGGACACTCTCAAGATCCCATACAAGTATGAACACAATAAGGTAAGTGGACATGTTGAAACATTTGGCAGAGTGGTTCATGAATGGTCCTTAACACTTTTAGAATGAACAGTAGACGTGAGAAATGCACTCATTCCCCCTCCTTCCTATTCTCTCCCCTCCCCCTCATTTCCTCCCTTTCCTCCTCTTTCTCTTTGCCTCCCCTTTGTGCATGGGTGCACAGGTACGTCTTGTAGAAGCCAGAGGTTCATGTTTGAATGTCTTCTTCTATTACATTCCACCATATTGGCTTTTATATGTTATAAAGCAAGAGATAGCCTAACTGTTATCTGACCTGTTTAATACTAGGAAATAGTTCACAGTTGCAAAATTGGTTCTATCTTTTGGAATGCTGCAGTACTATTGAAATTTCGTATGATATTGCCTAAGTGTTATTTCATTGAATGGGAATTTTTTCTGGCTATGGAAGGATCTGTGAACCAGATGGCATAGCACTGAGTGTCTTTTTATAAGCCTCTCTCTATTCTAAGGATTCCAAACTCAGGAAGCAACTTGTAATAAATTGCAGTAAGTTGCACACTTTTACCAAACCAAGATTAATTTTTCCTTGAATGTAGGTATCCATTATCTTGTCTTTGGGAGTTCTTTAGTAAGCAAGCATGTTTATATATTGGTGAGCTGCTTCTAACCACCCCAAGTTGAGCGAACACATGTTAGTATATCTTTTAAGGATACAGTGATCTAGAATTTGTTTATTTATAAATACCATCCTGTCTTCTCTTTGAATACATGTGTTCATAGCTAATGATAAAGGAGATTGTCATTTAGTAAAACCTGCTTATGTAAAGTGTATAATCATGAGATTACTTCATTATTTAATTCTTTCTCAAAGAGTGAATTTCCATCATCATATACAGATATGCTCTGTTGGCAGAGGTTTCTGTCCTGCCTGGTTCCTGCAGTTGTTAAGTTCCAAAGAAAACACACAGAGGTCTACATTAATTATAAACTGATTGGCACAATATCTCAGGCTCTTCTTATTAACTAATTCTTTTTTTTTTTTTTTTTTTTTGAGACAGGGTTTCTCTGTGGCTTTGGAGCCTGTTCTGGAACTAGCTCTGTAGACCAGGCTGGTCTCGAACTCACAGTGATCCACCTGCCTCTGCCTCCCAAGTGCTGGGATTAAAGGCGTGCACCACCATCGCCCGGCTTTATTAACTAATTCTTATAACTTATATTAGTCCATAGTTCTTGTCTTTGTTGGCCATATGGCTGCTTGGTACCTTTTTCGGTGAGGCAGTCACATCTTGCTTCCTCAGCAGCTGGGTCATGACTGCAGACTGAAACTTCCATCTTCTGAGAATTCTCGTTGCCCTGCCTCTATTTCCTGTCTGGTTACCCCGCCTATACTTTCTGCCTGGCTATGGGCCAATCAGCATTTTATTAAACAAGTACAAGAAACAAATCTTTATGGGTAAAAACATTGTCCCGAGCACTCTTTTAATTAAATTCTTTGTCTTGGTGTAGAATTTGGTTGTTAATAGAAAGGAAGCAACCCTCTGCTTCTGAGTAAGCATGGCTAGGGAATTGTCTTAGGGTACAGCTTGGAGAAGAAGGTCTGGATTTTACAGTTGGTGGTGTTCCTGTATTCCTGTTGTAATTGCTTCATATGTGCATGCATTATTTAGTCAGATTGCAAGGTGCCTTGCAGGAAGCAAGCATGCTCTTTGGTAATATTTTCCCCTACAACATTTCAAGTACAAAGCAGACTTTTGCTCATTAAGTAGAGTACTCCTGACCAGGAGCATGCTGGGGTCACTTTGCAGCTGGTTTCTGATTTCTGTGAACTGTGCAGTCAGGGTATCAGGCAGTGTAAAAGTATCTATAGTCTGTACCATTGTCAGTCTCAGCAAGAAAAAAGCACCCAATTTGGTGCTGTTACGTGAAAAGAGATGATGTTGAGGACTCACCTTGTGCTTCCATCAAGCTGACAATTTCATCTTTCCTTTTGTTCTATATTTTGAGCATCTCTGATCTGAAAATCTAAGATCTCAAATGTTATGGTGCTCTTGGTGAAGGACAAAGGATAGCTTACAGGAGTCAGTCTGCCCCCTTCCCTGTAAGTCCTAGGGATAGAACTCAGGTGGTCAGTGTATATGACAAGTGCCTTTACCTGCTGGGCCTTGCAGACCCCTCTTCTAAATTCAGTAAAATTACTAAAAACCCAAAAATCCTTGTAAAATTTTCATCAGGCTATGTACATACATGAGCATGACAAAGAAATGAATTTCCATCTTACAGATACTTGTATAAATGCTTATGCTACCAAATCCAAAACCTCTGAATTCTGAAATGTTTCTGGTGCAAGCATTTTCTACAAGGGATTTTCAACCTTACATAGTTTCTAAGTTTAGTCTTGGAAGTTCTGATGACCAGGCTTATCCAGCATCTAATTGACTTGTAGCTCCCTTTGCCTGAGTAGCTGAGGACTTTGTTGTTATGTCACCTGTCTTCCTTTTTTAGGGGGGTGGGGGTGGGGGAGGGGTACTAAGAGGAACAGAACTACAGTGTCTAAGAACAAGGAAGGACATGTCCCATGAAGGTAGCTCAGTAGGGCTGGGGGGATGATCCAGTCAGTAAAGCACTTGGCTTGCAAGTGTGAGGATCCGAGCTCACTCATCAGAATCCAGGTGAAATGCTGAGGTATGGTTACACAGAAGTGCAAACCCAGCTTGGAGAGGCAATGACAGGAGGGTCCCTAAAGCTCATTATTATCCAGCCAGCTAGCTTAATTGGAAAGCTTCAGGTTAGTGAGAGCCTCTGAGAATGGTAGCCTCTGGCCTTCACACTCTTGCTTATGTGCATGCATGAAGCATTTATCTAATTGTTCTTTTATCAATAAAAACTCGGGAGTCAGATTGGTAGCAGGATTTTCCTCTGCCCTTCACACTCTTGCTTATGTGCATGCATGAAGCATTTATCTAATTGTTCTTTTATCAATAAAAACTCGCGAGTCAGATTGGGATAAAAACCCTACTGCCTGAGAATCTCTCTAAGCCCCTCTCTGCTACTTACTGTGTCTCTCTATATCTGGGTCCTCCTAAACCTCTATGGCTAATTCTGGTCAGCCAGTTGCTAACACTGCTCACTAATTAAAGATTAAACTTTATTGGCAAACTCAGGAGAATCAGAGTTCCATCAGGATATCCCACAATACATGCATACCTAGACCTTTTCATAAACATTTGTTAAAAATGGAGCATGCGACATTAATCCCATTTAAATTATTGTGAAATTTTTACATATTACTTAAAAACCCTCAAGATCCTCAGTTATTTTCCAATAAAAAAATAGCCAAAATTCTGAAGGCTGTATCACTGTATTCCTGCCTCTGATCAACTGAATAAGAAGTTGCTACTTTTAAAAATTACAGACAAATAAAACCAAAAACAACATGAAGGAATTTTCTTAGTTCACAGAATGATCATGGGCTTATTGCACTGTAGGAATTTCCACCTATATAAACAAACTATTAGTTCTATGTATAAACAGAACTAATAGACACATGTTTTAATATGTCTGTCTGAGAGGTCAGATGAGCCAAAGAATTGCAGGCTGCAGAAGCCAACAACTGACTGAGGAAGTAGGAAGAAAACTTTCGAGGGTGTGAGCTCACAGCAGGCCTGAGAAGCTGAAGGACTGGGCTTGGGAGAGATGAACCTCGGCTAGTTTCAGTCTTTCACTGCTCACTTCAGAGTCAGATTCCTGGGAAAGAGTGTTGGATTGGCCTAGCCTGGATTCTTTGCTGGTTCTTTAGACAGAGAAAGGAAGTCTGGTCAATGTGATTGACAGTCCCTGGGGAAATCTGGGTACTGCTAGTGGAAGAAGGAGCATTTTTTTCTGGCTTGGCTTACAAATCTCTATTGCCAAAGTGCACTGTCAATTTATAACATGAGATGACATGTGAATTCTTTGTAGATGCAAACTTTCCGAGTTTACTTAGCATTTACCCTAAAATAAAAGTTCTTATTCTGGACTTACTCTGGGTTACAAGATGGGAAGGTGCTCATAGAAGCTGTTGACTCAGTAATAGCTGTGTACTGTGACAAGCATATACCAGCATTTGACTCTAAGCAATCTTGAGATTTTTCAAAGTTCATATGAAACCTTCATTTCTTTATAGTTGGGCCTGAATTTTCTTATATGTGGAAGTGGGACAAATAATGATAAGATGGCTTCAAAGTTCAAAAGGTAATGCACGTGAAAACCGTTTAGAATTTTGGCAGCGAGTGTCAAGGCAGTCTGAAATGAATTGTCGTCATGGAGAGACTAGATTCTGCTCTTTTTTTTTTTTTTTTTTTTTTTAGATTCTGCTCATCTTATGTCTTAGGCAGCATGGCTGAATTTAGGAGGTGTCTGTGGAAGAGCTATCCTCCCAGTGACGGCCATTGTGGTGGGATGCCAGGGGAGGCATGACACTTCTTATCTGGATATGTTGAAAAGATTATGGATTTTTGACATGTGAAATTCTCAAAAGCAGCTTTTCTTAGTTAAAGCAAGTGATGGACTAGATACCCAAAATCCCTTCTAATACATGCCAGTGTTACAGCTGGCAGGAGGCAGTTGTGCTTAGAACTCCCACTACAGTGTAAAGCACCTAGAAAAAGAAAAAAAGATGAACAGATTTTGTTTAGAAAGTATTCCTTAATAGTTTCCGTCTTTCTATGTCCCACAAATAAAGTAAGTAAATAAAAAAATGCTTACATTTGTGCAGAGCTTTTAGTGTTCAAAATATGATAGAAATTTTGAGTAAGTGTTGTTGGTAGCTTGCTCATCTTTGAGGGTTTTTTTTTTTTTTGTTTCTTTAAAACAGAGAAAGAATAAAAGAATTGAGGGACTTTTCACAACCAATTTGATGAGTCAGTCAGTGTTTTCTGGGTTCCTTGACCACTTTTTTCCAGGGAGAGTTGAATTGATACTGAATCTCTAGTTGACTGTGTCAGTTACGCTAGCTTATTTGCGTGTGTAGGTTTGTATGCCTC